TATGCTATTTCTGTTTATGATCTGAAGATATATGTTTTTGATTATGTTCATTGTGCTACCTTGTGGTTTTATTGTCACTACCCGAGTTCGTGATTCGAGGACGTGGCTTTACTTGGATTTAACCTAGATTTACGCTTAGAAGACGCTTACTTTTCCGGAATACCTGATCATACGGACGTATCAAAATATTGGTCAGTATTTCGGTCCATAAAGGATACTTATAATGCTCGTCCTGGTCGACAAATTTGTTTGCATACTGTAAAAAAAAACTTGTTTCGTGGTTTTAGAGAAACAAAAGCGTAAAGGTGGGGTCAACATTTGGCCCCCACTTTGATTTCCTTTATTCTTTAGCCATATGTAGATACATAAAAATGATCAATAACTGCATAAATGATTATTCATAATTGTTACTGACAACCGTAGTAGACCTCCTTGCATAGCACCAGGTTGAGTGACGGGGGTATCCTAACAAAATGACCGATAAATATCACAGGCAAATGTTAATTTGGAAATGAATTTTGATAGTGTATGGTGTATAAAATTACTGTTATTTTGATACTAAATATGTCATATTGGTAGACATGAAGTAAGCATAGTGATACTTTTAATTGGAAAAACATGCAAAATTTTCACAAAATTTAAAATAAAACTTACATTGTAAACTTGCCTTTATATAGTTACAATGGTAGTCTTTATTTTAAACTTCTTTAAAAACTTCCTATATATGTATTCTGTCTACAGAATAATTTTTTTGTAATATCAAAACCGGTAATGTACTTTTTTTAGCATGCCAAACATGATCAATGCCCAATTTCACATAACCTTGAAGATTTGACTATCAATGTTTATTATGATAAATACCGATACATTTTCTGTTTTTGTATCATACTAAAACACTTTATTATGTTAGGCATGTTTCCAAGTTATGCGCAGCAGTAATAACTCATGAATATGTATTATGTCACAGTAATCTTTCCTATGGAGAACTACTTTAGGTTTGAGATTGTGTTATAGACAAAGCTATGCAATTATCTAAAAAGAAATAAAATAATCTTAATCACAAAACTATTATACACTTTATTATACCCCCGCAACGACGTTAGGGGTGGGGATGGGGGTGGAGGGGATGGAGGTATACTGGAATCAGCTTGTCTATCCGTCTATCTGTCAACTCATTCTAAAGTAGTGGACCAATTTCAACGAAAGTTTCCAGATATGGTAACAACCATCCTATAGTGTTTATCCAGGATTTTTTTTTTCAATCTGACTATTTTTTTTACGGAGTAATGGCCCTTTGTTGAAAAACACTTGTCCAGACAACTCCTCCAAAACTATGGAGCCAATTTCAACGGAAGTTTACAGATATGGTAACTGCCCCTTGACATTGTGCATCCAAGAAGTATGTTTTCATTCCGACCCTTTAAAAAGGTGTTATGGCCTTTTCTTGAACAAAACTTTGTCTGCCTCTTAAACCTCTGGGCCATTTTAATGAAAGCTTACAGATATCGTAATTACCCCCTGATGTTTTGCATCAGGGTAGTATTTGTTCATTTCGACCCTTTTAAGGAGTTATGGCCCTTTGTTAAAAATCTTTGTCTTGATAACTCTTCCTTAACTACTAGAACGATATCAGCCAAAGTGGGTCATCTAGGCTAACAAGATGTGGCATGAAAGTATGTTTTGGCATAGGGAGGGAGTACAAGAAGTATGTCACTGACATCTATACATACATAATTACTGGTGGGAGACTGGACTAATTTGCAATGCTTTGCCTTAGCTAGCAGTTCTGGTTTATATAGGAGCGGAGGTTTTAGTTAAACTTTGGCTTACAGTTCTGGTTTATATAGGAGCGGAGGTTTTAGTTAAACTTTGGCTTACAGTTCTGGTTTATATAGGAGCGGAGGTTTTAGTTAAACTTTGACTTACAGTTCTGGTTTATATAGAAGCGGAGGTTTTAGTTAAACTTTGGCTTACAGTTCTGGTTTATATAGGAGCGGCGGTTTTAGTTAAACTTTGGCTTACAGTTCTAGTTTATATAGGAGCGGAGGTTTTAGTTAAACTTTGGCTTACAGTTCTAGTTTATTATTTTTGTAGCCTTTAACCATTCATTAAACAAACTATGAAGGATATTACACTATTTCATATCGATAACTCTAAACAAATAAAGCAAGGAAAGATACCCTTGTCCGACTCCCCATACAAAAATAATATTTCGGCACATTTGTTTTTTTATGACCTTGTATAAAGGTCAAGGTCATCAAAATTAAGAACACTTACACTCATTTACATGAACAACCTTCTTACCAAATATCAACACCCAATGACCTTTTGTCATGAAGAAAAACAGGTTAAAGAAAATGCGGAAAGAAATCTATGTTTTTCCTTTTTTGAACCAAAAGTAGTAAACGACAAATTTACCGGTTTTCATTTTTTTTGAAATTCCTGATGTTGAAAGATATTATTGGTAGACAACTTTTTAAGAAGTAAGAAAAATAGACTAGTTTTAGAACTATATGAATTAACGTGTCAAAAATGGAAAATTTCTCATAAGAAATGAAATTTCACACATTTTTCTGCTTAATTCTTAAATAAAAAGAACAATTCTTTATTGAAATAGTGTAATATTCGGTATCAAAATAACAGTTGAAATACTTTGCACATGATGATGATATAATTTTATTGTAATTGTGCCATTTAAATGCTCTAGGAGGAATTGTATTACTGCACCTTTAACACCCACACAGGTGTAAATCAAGGAGGTCCCATTTATCATTAAATGAATTCTGAAAGTAACTGTTCCTGATTTAAGCTTCCTATACCCATACCTTTTTGGATTTATCTTGTTTTGAAATTCCAAGTGGGGGCCGAAGCTAATGATAAATCTCCATAGGCGTTGACCCTACCTTTCATTTCTCTTGAGGAACAGAAGGCGTTGAGAATGTACATGGAGTGTCGGTGACGTCCTGGAAGTAGTCCTACAGCTGCGCTACTGGGTTTGTCTCCCTCTGTGTACTTGTTAACGGTACATACAATGCTCTCTTTGTCCACAAGGACAAAAATCAGTCAATCAGTCATTTCAGTATTTTTTGTAAAGGTCAATAATAATAATAATAAAAGATAATAATTGCAATGAACTCCATACTATTTGTATCAAAGATAACATTACAAAAGGCGTTATTTTTAAGAAAACATTATACACATACTTAATGAATATATCAAAGATAACGAATTACAACTCGCATGGAAAGTATTCATTTATGTATCGATGTAGATCGAACGCCGTATGACACCGTTTACCTCACCATCACAGTTACTCAAGCCGCTCTACGTGTATTTTATTCCTCGTGTATTTAGTGCTTTTTAGATCTCGTGTATTTTTTATCCACACTGGTGATTAAATAACGTTGTCTCAAGCTTTTAAAATGTGTTTTATCCATGTAACCTTGAAAGTTGAACAACGTCATCTATATCATTAAGCCCTATACAACTTTCCTTGAAAATAGTTATTTATTTGAACACTTTCATTTAGGCCTTGTGATATTAAAACAAAAGACAGATTGACACCTGTCTAATACAATGAGATAAAGTCAACAGGCGGACTTTCCCTAGATATAACTACTGATTTACATAGAAAAAAAATGATGCGATAACATTAGTAATAACATGTAAATACAAAAGCACTGTGAATGATAAATATTTCATTTTCAAATTTATGAAGATAAAATTCAACATCTTATTTTTTAACATCAAACGAGGAATAACAAACTATTTCCCTTTTAATCTGCATCTAAGGAAGCATCAACATTTGTATTTAACTTCCAAAATTATCAAACAGTCGTTTTTAAAATTAGGTTTATATTAGACAAATACATCATTAATATTAGAAAGATACAAAAAGAAAGAATAAAATTTGTGTATGTTAAACAAAATTAAATTGAAATGCCACAGTAAAATATAGTTTTAAATACATAAAACATGGTAATCGTCAATTAGTTCGGTATGGTAACAATAACAATATAGAACATTTTGCTTACCTAAGGACTGATGCTCAGATACAGACGTTCCAAATTATTATTCAACATTTCATACACTAACAATGCTCGTCCTAGTCGACCAAATTGTTAGCATACTGTGAAAGCATACACTTTTGTTGAGGATTTACTAGTATATTTCGCGGTTTTTTTTTAGAGCAACAAAAGCGTACACTTAATTTCGTTTGAGGAACTGAAGACGCTAGTAATGTACATGGGCCCACTTGTATAAAACATCTCAATGTTAAGGAAATTCCCACGCAATGTATTGTCTATGGGAAATCTTAGAATTGAGGAAATCTCAAGAGTAGAGATGTTTTATACAAGTGGGCCCAGGTGTTTCAGTGACGTCGTAGTATTAGTACAGTACTAGTTGCGCTACCACTTTGTCCTAGTTAACGGTACATACAATGCTCGTCTTTGTCCACAAGGAAATATTAATAGATCAGTCATGCACTCACTTCATTCTATTTGTGAAGGCATAATAAAAGAGAGGAAAAACCGATAATAATTGCATTGAACTAGATACAGTTGTGTATCAAATATAACATAATATACAGTTGTATATTAAAATTTCAAGGACAGTCCACCCTTCGTAATACACATGATTTTTCTTGCTGCGTTCTCGTCTCGTCATTTTCGTATGGTGTATCGGGCATTTCGAAGCCGTTGTGCAAATTCCTCTAAGCAGATTTGTTCAAGGGGTTGAGAGTGAGGAAACATATAGTGGCTGTGGGAGAATTCGTATATTAAAGATTAACCGTCGTGTTACGTCACGGTCCGTTACAGAGTTTACCTCACCCAATTCTAATATTACAGGAAAACCTATCTTTCACAATTTCACAAATTGAACAATTTGTGTTTGTCAAGTGTAGACTGTTATTTCATCATAATAACTCAAACCCATCTACATACATTTCTGTATTCGTTCCTGTACATGGACACAAAAACAAACATAAATCGATATATTAGTATTGACATTAAGTTTAATAACAATAACAAGATAACAGATTGATATCAAAATTAAATAAAAAATAAATATAAACATGAGTTATTTTAGTTTCATACCATTCAACGATAAGTGATATAAAACAAATCCACGTTTGTTAAAGTTTTCTTATGAAGGCTAAATATTATAAAATTAATGAATCACGACACTAGTCTACAACGATAAATCTTAATATAGCGTCAACATTCAAACGAACGTCAAACCACACCATCGAAAAGGACATTCTTCACACCTTTGAAAACACTTGTTTGATATATGAAAAAGGTGACGTAAAGTAAAATGATTTTGACTCCTTTTTCACGGTTGCACTCTCGTCCTTTCCTCTCAATATTTCTCCTGCTTGTTTCCTAGTAGTAGCATCTACAAGCCAGTCCAGCATCTCATACAATCCCTCCCCGGTGGTGGCTGTGGTACCAAACACTTCACACAGGTGTGATTTACGGATGGTGTTGATGTCCATTTTCTCGCTTATCTCTAATGGAGTCAGAGCTCCGGATATATCCTGTTTGTTAGCCACAACGACAAGCACAACATCCTTCAGTGATTCCTCTTTCACGGTACGGTGGAGTTCCTCCCGGGCGGATTCAATTCGTTCTTTGTCATTACTATCAACTACAAAAACAAAGGCACTAGTTCCACTATAGTAATGTCTATAAAGAGGCCGAATATTGCCCCTGCCTCCTATGTCCCAAGTCACCAACTGTATGTTCTTATGTTCGACTGTCTCCACGTTGAATCCTATTGTAGGAATCGTTGTGACAACTTTACCCAGTTTCAGTCTGTAAAGAATAGTTGTTTTACCAGCAGCATCAAGTCCGTTTAATAGAACTCTAAATTCACGCTTGCGGAATAATTTGCCAAATATACCACCCATCGTTGCTGTAATGGTTAATTTACAAACACACCCCTCGTATACATTACGTACGGCATACCAAGTCGGGTATTTATATACACCTAGTTACACGTCACTGGTTGTGTGTAAACAAGGCCACGCAGTTAGAAATGACAACGCGTAAATGGGAAATAACCCACAATGTTTACTGTGTTACCACAGAAGGTTACACAATACTATTTCGACCAGATGGAAAACATAGCATGGGCTTATCGATATGTAAGAGTAGAGATATATAAATCGATTCAGAAAAGAAACAAGCACACGGAGACATCTACTATTTGCTTTGGTGAAAGATTTTGAATCAGTGAAAAATTTCAGTCGGATACAACAGATCAATAGCTGTAATGGTCCAATAGAATTACGGATCAATATATATATATATCAATTTATTAACAGTAAATACTTATACTGATATCTACAGATTTGATATCACTGAAGTTACTTCACTTTTCTTACGGTGTTCAAGTCTCACAACACGTATTGCATTATGCAGAGCAAAGTTTTGTTAAGGAGGAAATGTTTAATCGAAATGCGACGTGAAAAAGTCTCTTTAATTCATATCGTCGTCCAAAATCATTTAAATACGAACCCACGGAATTTGCAAACATGAATATTTTGGTAGTTACATATAATAAAAACAATCCAATTACGTGCACACATGTATATAGAGAGACGATTGATTTGCTTCTTTACGTTTTTGGCATTAACTTCAAAGCAAGTTTTGGTATGTGCTTTTTTATCATTATTGGAAACATCGTTTTGTTATTTTTTCTGACTAAACATCGGATAAAAAAGACGTGTTCTTAGTTAAAAGTTAAAAAACAACATGCATACCTAGATGTATTTTATCGGTTTCCCTTTCAAAAACATATAAAAAAGGAACAAAGATGTATAAATCGTACAAATCCATATCAACAACTGAATTATTTGGCAATTTCGCTATGTTACAGTTTATAAAGAATTATTAACTTGTTCAAATAATTCAAAGGAATTTATGTTTTGCCCATGTAATTCCATTCACAATACACAACCGGCAAAGCCACTAAAATGTATCGCTCATATATTCAGGGCAGAATCACTCGCAAGGTTTTGTTAATAGTCATGACGTAGAATAATGTCAAATATAGAATTAACATTGATTTTTTAAAGAATAATGAATGTAATCATCACTGAAAGATTAAAACATTGGAATAGTACATAATTACATAACTATCTCTTTTAGCATAATAGCAAAGTTCTACATTCTACACAAACAATGTACGTGTCAAAGTGTCAAAGTGTAGAAAGTCAAACTTTGATATCACATATTTCCAAACTGATGAATCTTATTGAAGATATCTCTTTTAGCGTGATTGTGGATTGATTTCAAATTTTGACGATTCTACTATCCTCCAAAGAAAAAGATAAATTTAATTTAAAAAACGAAGAAACAAAATGTCTTTCAAATTTAACATTTTTATCTTTATTTCACGTATAATTCAACTGTTAACATAAAGTGATGTTCAATGTCAAGTGCCACGAAATAAAAACAGTTTAGAGAAATGTCACGAGGGGATCAGAATTGCTCCATCGCATGCGCTTTTGGTGTACGTGTAATTACAATTTTCAGGATTATTAAATTGTTCAGATTAAACAAAGAAAATATATTCCTGAAAATTAATGACATTCGCTAACACGAACATCAACTACAACGGGTTCATTTCATGTAAGACCTATCGCAAACAGTTCGACAATTATTGTATGAACTTCTGAATTGATTACCCGATATTTTAAAAAGTGAATGAATCACGATTTTCTGATTTAATAACAAATGAAACAGGAAGACTGTCAAATTTAACAAGTATTACTCAACTGAAAAAAACAGTAAAATGGTTCTGCTTAAATTTGATCTCTCTATGACATAAAATAATCACTAAAAATTCAGCAAGTCAATGCAGAAAGCCAAACAATACTACAAAATGTACCACATATTGTCATCTCGCCAACTAAGACTGACAGATACATCCAGCATACAGAACCCAGCAGATTTGTTAAGTATCCTTCTCATTCCTATACAACAGAAATAACGTGAAGAACAATATGGAATCCTTACCAAGCCTCACAAACATTTTTGAGTGGATATACTGTTTTCATGTGTATGTCAAACGTGGATAAGTCAGAAGTCCATGAGGCAAGAAATCGTGATTTTATCGCTACAACTCGAGAATATATTGGCCAATAATCAACTGCTGCCAAAAGAACTTCCTGTATCCATACCAACACATGTCTCTATTAAAATTCTACTGACCAACCTTTACTTTGTATGTTTGTCATTATAGATGAACCGGATAATGCTATCAATTATTAAATAATCTACAAACATATTCCATGGTGTCCAGACAAAAGGAGAACATTTATCATAGATTAAAACCATTTATCATAGATTAAAACCACACGTGGACACAACCCAGACACTAATAGGTTTAACATGAACAGTAAAACAGGCAATATGGGAAATAATGTAGCATAGTAAGCTTATTCCAATTATTCACAAAATCATAAATATTACAATTTATTATAAAATCCCCAAGGAAAACGTCGAGGCATATACCGTAAAAACCCTTGCATACTGTTTCATTTCATGCATGATTAAAATTAACTCTTGAAAAGTAAACACATGTCTACTCAAAGGAAAGAAATTGATACTGTCAAATAACCTTGATTATGTTATTTGTAATAGTTGTACATTTTATTACGCTGTCAAAATACAACTAATTTTGATTAAAAATGTGTGTTTTCATTTAAGGTTTCAGATTTTACAGAATGCATTGACTATATGACTAAGACATATTCAATTTATTTTTTATTCAAGCTATAAATGTTTGATGTAATAACTGTAAAGAAAACTTGTAATCTTATCGAAAATAAAGGGGAGAAATTATAAGTACAGTATTATCTTATTTTTACAAGTAAACATCTGATGAATTCTTATGTTTCCATACAAAAAGTCCCAAATTTCCCTGAGACTGATATGTGCTATTTTTGGTAATGTATATGCCATGTTTGCATACATTCTCACCTAATTGGAGGCCGGAGACCAGCAGATCTCACACCCAGACTTTTGCGTTGTGGAAACCCCTTTGTCATCCCAACCTGTTTGAATGGTAAGCTAGTATTAGATCTGTTTGTACTGCTTTGGTAAGAATTGCTGTAGCTAGAATTTATATGTGTCCCGACGGTCGATTCCCATTTAAAAAATTCACAACCTTTCCTCTTATCTTGTGGATTACTTGGGCGTGATCCAGCCCCACAGGTGAAGAAGAATCTGCCCATGTTGGGCCCCGGTGTTTGAGCCATGCGCCTCTTCGACCGCTTGCCACACCCACATAAAGGCGGTGTTCCTTTCATACTACTGGTAGTGCTGTTTGGTGTTTTGATGGAGGAATTGGTTGGGGTTACAAAACCACAGAATGAGGTCAAGCTTTTCTGTCCTGCTGTGTTTTCTAGTGACACCAAAGAAGAGTTTGAAGTTCTTGATTGAGGGTGGCCAACATGACTAGGAGTTTTGAACGAGGTGGAAATAGACAGATTCTTAGTCAACTTTACTGATCTACTTGCAGAAACATTACACTGAATGTTTGGAATTGTTGTCTTACAGTTCTGTGGAGTTTGAAATACTGTTCTGTTCCTGTTGGATGTCTGGTTCAGATGTTGAGTATTACAAGTGATGCTATTGTCTCTGGATCGAAGACCAGTTGTACTTAGCTGTTTTTTAACATTTGGTGTGGATAATAGATCCGCTGTTGATATTTCCTCGTGAGAGGGATCTCTATAAATCTGATCTACTATGGATATTTTTGTTGTTGATGGAAGCTTCCTATTCACTGCAGCCTTTGGGGACCTAACAGGTATTTTACTTTTAGCAGACCTTGGACTGGAGACCATTGTAACAATTTCTCGACTGTCACTGGTTTTCCTGACAGTCCTTTGACCAGAAACAGCTGTAGGCATAATGGTTTTTCTAGTGGGTGAGGAATGTGAGATACCAAGACATGGTGATAAACGTGTGTCTGTTTTCCTCCTCTTGTTACACGGACTTGTACTGGGACTGTGTAAGGCTTGGACAGCAGGGAGGGTCTCCCGGACAGCAATGTGGTGTTCACCAGACACAAGTTTTGTTACAGCTGTGCTACTATCAACAGGCATTGCTTTTGGTAATCCCATCTTAACACCCGATTCCAAACTCTGATAACAAACCACAAACAAATCTATAGGTTAACAGGCTTTATTTGTAAAACATTGATATCATATCACATTCATTTAAATTATTGTTAAACATGCATTGAATATAAATACTTTTAAACAAATACATAATTATAAATAAAAACAATCTTAATATCCAATTCACATCAATCAATATACGTAAATAAAAACACTGGAACAATTCAACATAATTTCCAAATACATGTAATGTAAAATCCAGAAAAGAGTACCAACGGTAGAAAACCAGTCAGCTGATATGGAATTATAAAGTTGCTAAAACTACACAAGATGAAATGAAAGAAGTATGTTAAAGGTACCATAAGTTCAATAATAAAACTAGTAAAAAGTCAATAATTGAAACCAATATCCTAAATATTGGGGCTAGAGACAGTACTTTTCTATATGACAGTTTATAAGTAATCAGTCATACCGACAGGAGACTTTTAGTGGTGGTCAACACACATCCGTCTTTGGCCATCCTCCAGGCCAGCCGGGCAGTGTTACGGGAATCATGCAGACCTGGAAATAAAGCAACACATTTAAAAAAAGGCAATGTATTGCAAGATATACATAGCTCTGCACCCCCTCAACTTACGCTGAAGACAAACTTCTGTATAAAAGGTCAATAACTCCTATTAAAGTGGGGCATGGGACCTGATTGAAGTACATTGCACTCCATCATTCAAAGAGGTATTTTCACTCAAAATTTGGATATTAAAGGCGACACATTATATTTGACAGACATTGGATTTTCCCAGACAAAGCGATGTACAGTGAGCAAAGGTCATAAGGTCATCACTCTGTATTCATGTATATGGATCCTATCATCCACTAAAGGGCGGAACAGGTAAACAAGTTACCGGTCCCCCTGACTGCCTGCAGTATTAGCGTAATTGGGCAAAATGTGTCTAAGATTTTTGACAGCTGACTTCACCGATTCGGCACACGGTGGCTTAGTGAGTTGTTTTCCGTGGTTTACAAGTTGAGACACCGGTCATTTGCACTCTTTGCTTGACAAAGGAAACAGAATTTTCAAAAACTTTCAAAATAAGTTTTCAATTCCTGTTTGTGTTCAAAACAAACTTAGCCTTGAACGTTTGGGATATTTCTTTTCCTAATACCTTTCTTTGCAAAAGCTTGCTTTTAGTCTTGGTACTGAGCGTTTTCCCAAGTGAGTGAGTTTATGGGTTCTGCTGAGCAGAGACCACACCTAGCCCTTGGGTGACCGATCCTCTGCGGACACAATCATCTGCGGACACTATCTTCGTATATACGAATGGCATTAGCTGATGCGAAGACATTAAACCACAAACAAACTAGAATAATATTCACCTGAATGCTGACGCCCCTCAAATGTGATACCGAGGTCCTGTAGAGCTCCATTTAATCCCTGTGGACGTCGGTTGTAAAACTTCCTGTATGTCGCCCTCAGATCAATCCAGCTGTTCAGTTGTGGTGGCTTCAACAGTTGCTTTCTTCTACACTCATTGAAAAGGCAAACACCAAGATCCCAGTCTGATATAATAAAAAATCTGGTTTTATATTTCTAAACAAATGAAAGACATCCAAATTATATTGTACAATCCATTCCCCCCATTTACTTTGAATTTGTGATTCATGATTTATGAAATTTACTATTTTGATTAGCATCTAATTAACAACCTTTCTATCAATGAAGAAAATATGAATCTAGGATTTAATAATTCATGTTAAGATCATAACAGGTTTTACCTGACCAGGTGACGAATGTGGCAGCCTTAGAGCTGGACTGTCGGCCTCTGAGGACGGGTGAGAATGCTATCCCTTTGTCTCTACACAGACCATCTAACCACTTAGAGAACTTTTTCAGGCAAAGCCTCAGTGGAATACCTTCATCGACCAGTTCCTGCACAAGATGAAATGGTCAAAACATTTTGCAAAACTTGTAATTTTTAATATTTTGTAGTTTACATTAGCACACATGCTGTATGATCGTTACTTGTTGACTTCTGTCTGGACAGCTAAATGTAGGCTAATTGAAATGTATATTGAATTATCTCAAAATACACTAAATGTATTATCTATGAAGCTGAAAATGTATATCCAAAAGAAATACTCACTTACCTGAGTGATGCCAGTCAGTTCATGACAGAAGTCACTGAGTATAGGATGTTCGTGTGGCTGGACGTAATACTGGAACTCGCTCTCAATATCGCCTGTGGCTGTATTTAGAAGCACTGCTGGGAACTCAACTAGGACAAGAAAAAAAAAAAGGGTAAAACTCAACAGACAACACAACTTCATGTAGTACAATACCAGAGATTTCAGTGATGAAGACATTGTTTAGAAGTAGACTGCTATAGATATTAAAAAACTAATTTCTGTTATAATTATAGACCTTGTTGCACTCATAGCAACCAAGCTACTGGCCATAGATCATTACTACACACCTCTTGTTGCTTCAATAAAGGTTAAGGTCTTTTTTTTTTTAAGAAAACCTATGTACATGTAGCATTCTATGTCAGGAAGCTATATAATTGTCCAATTATCATGTTCTGAATTACAAAATGTTGCACAGATTAAAAAAACATCTTACTTATTTCCTGTGTTTGGAATTTTTTCTCCTTCCAGCAAGTGGATTCAAAGTCCAAAACTATAAGGTATTCAAAAGGCTGACCTATTGAAATAAAAAGTGTAAACAAGAATGCTCATGACAATAATGTACATGTAGAAAAATAGAATGAGAAACACCATTGACATTTTATCATTTATGTTGCAATTATATTCAGCTTTGTATCAATTTGAATTACCATGTGATACTCCTACATTGATCATGTCTACAGCCCGTTCCCTCTGAACTTGTGATAGCCATGCATGGTATACACCTGATTATACCAGTAATGAAAAACTGTACTGCTGATAATTTTTCAAGACTTTCCAATCGACAAGGGGTGAAAACAGGCCCAAGGGGCCTTAATACTCACTTGAAATCAATGACTTAAATTATAATTGATATTGGACTACAAATCGACTCTAAAATAACAAGAAAGGGTCTGGGCAATGTGAGGATCATTCCTGTTTAGTTTAGTGAAGTTAAAGAATATTTGAGCGCAAGTTGAAAATGTAAAAAGTTTAAAACAGATGGAGGACAGTCGTTCAGGAGATAAAGGCTTTTAAAGGGAAAAGTTGACGTCGGACAACATAAACTCACTTGCCCTGCGGGCAGGTGAGCTAAAAACCACAGGGCAGTTGGCCAGGGATCGTTATAATTAAGTAACTGTTTCCTTCTTAGCTTTTGTAATTGAATGTTAAAATGATTCACTAAATTAAAAATCACAGGTTTCTCTTGGGAAAGAAACCCCCAAAAATGAATGCAAATATTGCTAAAATAAAGGAAGGTGTGTGTTGATAGTGTTTAGATCTATGCAGATTGATTGACAAACAAAATAAGAATAATTCACTGAAAAAGTGAAATACATATACCCCCAGTAGTGTCAAATAAAATAAAATCTAACACTACTTCTACTTAACTAAATCTTCTAATTCTATTGGCTAATTCCATCCCTAGGAGGTTGGGCTACATCTCTCTTTTAGAAGTCTTTTGATGACCATTTCCCTGTCTAAGGACCACGATTAACTTATCACTGCATTATACTAAATTGACCTTACATCCACACACCATTGTCCTCCGACCCTTCACACAGACATTTCCACACACTCCATTCCCTTTGAGTTCCTACCACCATGCGTGTCCTGGTCATCTCCTTTGTTAACAATTACAATCTCTTTTTAATTGCCTTCTTCTTACTCTTCTGATCTTACTCACTACATCTGTCATACTTACTTGGAGACCGTGAGCATTTACTGCCACTAGACGCTGAGAGTGTCCGTTTCCGCAACAGTCCAAGTTCCCTAGAATAAAATTTACAATATGTATGCAATATGTAAAACATTTTACAGTAACGTTACTTAGTCATATCTCTACTCAAAAGCCTATTTAATAGGTCTGGTGTAGGTCAATCACTCTGGATCAGCTGCTGATCTGTTAGCAGATATATAAGACGGTCAGTTTTATTTGAATCATAATGATGTGATTTAGAGTGTCTTTTCAAAGTAAGGTTGTTGTTTACTTCTTTTGAAATATAGTACTGATGAGAAACTTGAAATGTCAAAATCTAAGATGACTGCAAGCTGGTGACCACCTTGGGTTTTTCCCCAATCTTTTTCTAAATAACAAATGCACAATTATAGACTAATAGAAACATTCAACTGTAAGTTGAGGAAGACCTGTCCAGATTTTCTTGAGAAATAGCAATAACAAAATTACATTTAGCTGTCTGGTGGCAATCTTGGTTTTTCCAATTAGTCTCAAAGTAAAAGGAAACATACCTAACTATGGACCAATAGGAACCTGTATATGAAATTTGCGAAATATCTTTCTCAAGTTCTTTTTCAGAAATACTCTGTATATAATGATTAAACACTTCAGCTGCCAAGTTGGCTGTCAGATACCATTTTGTTTTGCTAATCAGTCTCAAACAAAAAATGCAGAACTTGTACCAAGGGGAAATGGCATATAAAATTTGAGAAAGATCTGCTGAATCAATTGAATGCTTCATATCATCATTTTATACATGTATAACAATTATGTGTACATACGCTTTAAATAGCATAGCTGATTTTGACGTCAGTTTAAAATATTTAAAAATTTTTTTTTTATGTATTGCAGCTAAATCTGTCTTCAGAATCACAGGCTTATATCTTTCGACTATGCTAAAAACTGTAGGAATAGTTCTTTCAAAAATGTTTTTAAACAAGGGCATAAATAGGGGAGGTATCTTCAATTCATATACTTTACTCACATCCACTTTGATTCAAGTGTTTTGTGTCACTCGTGTTTCAAATTGGTGCATTATATATGGAGGAGAGGTGCAAAGTTTAAATCTAAGGGGAATAAATCCATTTAATTGTGGAGGCAACTCCAAAATATTGACCTTATTGAGTTATTCACATCCCTACAATGTATGTATCATGTGTACCAAGTATAAATCAATTCGAAAAAGTAACCTGTAACTGTATAATATTATAAGTTAAGATAATCATTATCTAATATTGTGACGTTAACATGATCCCGAACAAAGTAGAGCTTTGAATGATCTTTTAAAGAAAGTCATGACTAACTAATAAAAAGAATCTAGATTTTTGCACTGTTATGAACGATATTGATTAAATTTGTTACATATGAAAAAGCAAATAAAAAGACAGGTTAATTTAATTAACAAGAGGCCCAGAGGGCTGTATCGCTCACCTGGATATTTGAGCAATCATGATGGGAAAATATTCTCAAATATTTCCATATATTGAGTCACCTTGGCTTAAGAATGTTCCAGACTAAATGAAACTATATACTATTCTATCTCAGCATGCTACTGGTCAAATATCATCATCCAGTGTCTCCTTGTATTGCAGAAGAAGTGGTTGTTTATAGAATAAGATATTTACATGTTTGACCAGATAACAGTGAAAGTAGGTCAAGGTAATTTATTTGTGGAAACTTTATAGCACTCTGTCCATGGTACCAACTGGCCAAGTATCATTATTCTGGGCCTCCTGGTTATTCTTCAGAAGTATATATTTGACACCTGTGATCTTGAAAGTAGATCAAGGTCATTTATTAAGGGGAAATTTATAGGACTCTGTACCTACTTGCCAAATATTATATTGCTCTTGGCCTCTTATAAGCTCACCTGGCACTACGCAAAACTTTGTGCCAAGTTACCTCAAAATCACAGAACCAATCTTGTACGTTAAAGATGTTTTTACACCGACACAAATATTGGCAGAGAGTGTTACTGCAAAAATCACAGACCAACCATGTAACATGTCAATAGTTGCTTAATTTTTAGTCACAAAGACAAATATTGGCAGACAGTCTCATTATTGATTGTTTATCATGTTTACTAGTACGAGTTTCTTCCCCTTAACCACATATACCGATAATTTTCATATTTTGCCGATTTTGACCGATATTCGGTATATATATATGTATGGTACGGATATAATATTTTGGTATGGAACAACTTCAATCCTTGGTACAGAAAAAAATGGATTCTTGGTACGGATAAACTTAAACTTGGTAATTATTGCCGAGCGTGCGGACCGACACCTCTAGTACAGTATACTGACAGTACAGTATCGGAACGCTATAAACGAAACGGTCCTGCCTTAATCCTACAAGTACAAGGAGCAAAAATTCGCTGAATGCTAGGAGTCAGCGAAGACAACTTTGCAAACTGGGCAAATGCTTCGGGCAAATCTTTGCTGATAGAAATAGTTACCTCGCCAATTCCTTAAAATGCCGCACAAAGATCCTACAAAGCATTAAATAGATCAAGATTGTTGCGATCTGAATCACCTGAGTGTTTGCAAAATTGGTTTTTGTAGTGAGCGTTTTTAAAGCTTTTGGATGAGAGGGATTTAAAATATTAACACGTGAAACCGAAAAGTTGATACAATGATGAGATGAGGGATCTGTCTAACTCCAAGAAACCTATGACACTTTCAGATTTTATAATGAAGATGAAACGACAACAATACAGGAAACATGCACGATATTGACAGATGTATGGCAATTGATATTTAGAACTACTGGGGTTTTCGCATTTTATTACAATATGACAACAGAAGAGAAGTCGTTGGATTCTCAATCTTCGAAGAAGGTCAAGCGCATCGAATCGAAGAAGAGAAAAGCTGTGGCTTTCCTCCAGCTAGCTAAAGATGTGGAAGCGGTACGATGTTATTGCTGTTTTATAGCTATCATTTGAAATATTGTGACTTTCCCCTTTGGTTCCACAGGAGCCTGAAGTTCTGTCAAAAAATAATAATAACAGTAATACAAAAAATACCTATGATATATTTTCTAAGCATATTATAGGTATTTATTTTGTATTACTGTTGTTATCATTTTTTTTTTACAGAACTTCAGGCTCCTGTGATGGTTCTTACCAGTCACACTGGAGATTCCAGCGAGTACTACCTCAACTGGGGTGTGTCTATTTTTTAGTAAAGAAGCAAATATATAAAGACAGGTTAATCTGGCTTATAACATTGCCCTTTTCGAGCAATCACTGCATGTGATCATGCAAGTCTTTTGTCATCTTGTACTAGAAAATACAGGGAATATATAAAAGCAGTATCGAAGGTAACAGTATATGAAAAATAACTTTGTATAGAACAATACAACACCTGATATAAATCTAACTGATCATGCACGCTCCTACTACTGATAGCTCAGAATGTGTATATAAACATGCATGGCCAATCGCTCGGTTCCCCGGCCACAGCAACACACACACAGGCCTTTTACCACACTACCTGTACAGAATAGCTCAGTACGGCGATATATCACTATGCCCAGTACTGCTGATATCTCACTACGATGATAGCTCAGCCTCACTGCTTGAACTTATACTGTACAAATCTGTCAAACTCTCCTCGCTAACCTTGAGTTATCTTGACCACTCTGGGATCCCTAAAACTCCCCATAGCAACCTAATGAGTTCTCACAGTGCTGTTTTGATTTATCAATGTAGCAGACCAGAAGCAACATGGTAGCTCGCCCCTTGTTGTGTATGGTACTTTGGATTGAGCGAACGTAATGGGTAACAGTCTTATTCAGACATACCCCATTTTGGTCGCCTTATATAACCCTATGCCCCACCAGACCTGTCAATCACCCAGAGATTGTCCATATTACCTATATGTTTTGAACGGGGCTAGCTCAAGGTCAGCTTTACTCAAGCGTGTAAATGACATTGAGAATACAAAGAAACAGTGAGATTAACAAATAGAAAAAAAGCTAGCTTGGTAGGTTTTCCTCACAATATCTAGATGGTAAAGTAACAAAGTAAACTTATTTTTGGCCAGTTCATATATATATATATATCTGTATAGTATAATGATCTGGTGTATCTGGCATTAAAAAGTCAATCATAATCAGTCATCCAGAATTTGCAGTTATGAAATCCATAAAACACATTTATACGAAAGCACTCTTTTTTGTATATCTTGTATCTCAAGCAAAATTACTTTTATAGGGATTCCTAGCCGAAATTTCTTCTGGCCCTGACGCTAGACTTAGACATTTTGACAGATAAATGTCTGGTGTGGGGCCAGAGCACAGTACTATATGAAATAATGGAATTCTCCAACACCGTTTGGTATCGGTGCTGACAACAAAAATAAACAATGACACAACACATATCTTACATTATAACATATATCCATAAATGGGATATTTATTGATCCAAAATCACCCTTTTTATCACCAACAACTGCTACCATCTGTCAGTAGAGTCCTCAGTTTTCAATCATTTAAAATTTTCTACTTGAGCAATGTCTTTGATTTGTAGGTTTTGCAAATTACATGGGAATGACTAATCAACAAATAGAGGCAGATTGGAAATCTTTTAGATTAGAATAATATATTCTGTTTTTGTCCAGATCAGTATGGTTTGTTGATTTGTCACTCCCGTGTAATTTGCGTATTTACCTGTATATTTTCATTAAAAGGTTAAAGCCAGTATGAAAGATTCTGATGATGATGATGAAGTTCATACACAAGCTAAGAAACAGAAGATTCCAGAAGCCTTTGGGGATATTGCATCATTTGTTACACAGGAGAAGTCAACCAAAATATCTGAAGATAATTCTGAAGAGGTTACCAAGCCCAAACTATCAGGAGATGCCTTACTGGAACTTCGTAAAACTCTACGGGAAAAACAGAGAGCTAGCCTGGTAATTTAACTGGAATATTACTTATGTTAGTGACACAAGTACTGTATAATTAATTCTATATAAAAATAATGCCTATATATATGAAACGATAAAACCTTTGAATATGTATTCACCTACGTATACCCAATCTTACTACATTATGATTGCATGTAAAATACTATCTAAGGCATTTAAATATTTTTCAATGAAACACTATTTTGGTCTTTATGTTAGCAAGGTAATCAGGAACCAATGCTAAAGTTAAGTCACTCTGTTAAGTTTTTTGTTTGTTAGATAAAAATCCTGCATGATCAAATTTTAAAATTAGAAACAAGAAATCCAGTATGAAACAATACAGATTTTGAATTAGCTTACCAGACAAAAAGAGATTGTGTGGTGTCTGTTTTCCTGCCAATCTGTCATCAAGTGTCCATAAAACAGCTTTTTCTGCAGAACCATAAGGCCTAAAGTCATGATTTATTTGTCATGTAGCTTGATGTAGTGATTCCTCCTTCCTTTGCCAAATATGACACTACATTTTTCTACATCAAATTAAATATCTCATGCTTTTTGGGTATCACATATTTTTAGGTATATGTGATTTCAAAATTGAAATTGATCTCTGATTAAGTCCATTAGTTGTTTTTTGGTATAAAAAATGGAATCGAAATATATATATTCTTAATGTATGATGGTACATATTTTTCAAGAAGTGATTTAATTGCTACCATACACCATAAACAGGTTGTATGCATTTGTGTGTCGATATAACTGTCATAAAATATGAAGAGGTTACATTTCAATCCTTAATTACACCACAAAGTCAATAATAACAGCTTGTCTGTTCCTCCACAATACTTAAGTTTTGTTTGTTATATCTTTCTTCAGGATAAACCAAAAGTGTTCCTCACATTGGATGCTCTTGCATTAGAGTATGGTGCTATGTTGTGCAAGGAAAGCCTGATTTCTACATTACCACCACTGTTTATGTTGGATGTACAACACTTGTTGCTGTACGCCATACAGGGTAATCTTTCTTCATATAGACCAAGGTAATTCTATAAAATTACATCCTAATTAAACCCATGTTACATCTATATACCTACTTCTTAACCTTATTTCTCAGGACTTTATTGATTTCTGAACCACTAAATGGAATTTCTCCTTTGATTTGACTGGAAACATCTTTAGGCAGTGGGAAATCAAATTTGCACAATGAAGGGGCCAGCCCCCAATGAGCTGAGGGATAGGGCCAAAAAGAGGTATTTTAGCAGTATTGTTTAAAGTGACCTTTCCTGGAACTATGAACTATATATTTAGTCGAAAACTTGTTCAGATGGTGTGTTGTCAAATTTAATACATATCATGTGATGATGTTATTACAATCACAGTCAGATACACTGAATGACACTGGTCATGTGATAATGTTATTATTGAATGACTCTGCATGGTCATGTGATCATATGATAGTGTTATTATTCAATGACTCTGGTCATGTGATTATGTGATAGTGTTATCACTGAATGACCCTGGTCATGTGATCATATGATAGTGTTATTATTCAATGACTCTGGTCATGTGATTATGTGATAGTGTTATCACTGAATGACTCTGGTCATGTGATTATATGATAGTGCTATTATTCAATGACTCTGGTCATGTGATTATGTGATAGTGTTATCATTGAATGACTCTGGTCATGTGATAGTGTTATTATTCTGTTACTGGTCATGTGACTCTTGTTATGTGATAGTGTTATCATGATCACTGAATGACTCCGGTCATGTGAAAGTCTTATTACTGAATTATTATACTTAACTAGTTGGATCATAGGATGGTGTTATTTCATTTACTGACATATGATAAATAATAATGGTTTGTAGAATTGATATCAACAAAGATTGTGTTTTATGTACATCGGAACTTCATTTGAGTACAAATAATTTCTAAAAAAGCTGAAATGTTTGTGACCTTTTTTGGCGTCCCCAGGTGGTGTAAGTTGCTGAGGCCAGGCAGAGTCTCTAGTGTTGTGGTCATTGTGTTGGATGGAGTTGGAAGTGATGATTATCAAACACATCCAGAAAGTTTTTCAAATCTACGGAAGTTCTTTGAAATGGTGAGTAGAGTACGTAGATGTTGCTGAAGTTTTGAACACAATTTCACCAAAGACTTGTGATGGGGATTCAATATTCCACAAATTGAGGGGTGGATCCCCAACATGTTATATTATAAGTTGACAGGGAACTGAAAATATTTCATGTGGAAATGTTGCTTTAAACACATTCCTTACTAAGAAATATAACACATATATTAGATCCTGTTCATATGGAATGTACTTGATTATTGAAAATATGAAGGTATTTTCAATCACACTATCCTATTATTTCAGTCTGTTGACATGGTACCTCCTGTGGAGTATGGCTCTTCTGTAGCAGACGAACTGCTCTATGTTCCATTATCACTGAGGGAAAAGATACAGATTAGGAAAACTAATCATGAAAAACAGGAACATTACACAATGATTAATGTGGAACCAATGGCTCCAATCATTGGTGAAAAAGTACCACAAACAGGTCAAGTCAGTGTGATAAAAAACGAGCCTAAACAAGAAACTGCAGAAGATTCAGAAATAAAGAACATTGAAGTGACATCTGAGCAATTGCCAGCCTCAGATCGCTTTCCTAGGACACACCTTCTATTGAGTACATCACAAATGGTACTAGAAAGCTTCCCCATGCCTATCCTAAACACAAGTAAGTACTTCTCTATTTTCTATGTCATTTCTCTTGATAATAAGTTGATTTGGATTTTACAAAATAGAATACTAATGAAATATTCTCTAGAAGCTGCTTAACAAAGTCTGTCTGACAGCGGTTCTACAGTAGTATGGAGAAATGTTTTGTCCTTATCTTGATAACTAAATATGCTTTATAGATTTATCTTGCAGCAATGGTGCAGTCAGGATTTTTTTTTCGAAATTTATATTGCAAATACTTAATTTGACATACATTTTATGCTTCAGTGACATGGTTAAGAAGATATGGTGTAATATAAATGTATATATCTATATGTTAAGAACATTTTTGTCCATATCTGGGTAACTATTACTCATAAATATCATTTGTATAAGAGTTGACTACTACTAGGTTGTTGGTTTGTTTTCAGACACTGATTTTGTCTACACCAAAGAAGAATATGAAACAGTGACGAACCGTAGTCCCATTTTTGCCGTGGATTGTGAAATGGTATGCATACATGTAATCAGTCTTGGACTGGAGCAACATAATAATATCAGATGGCATTTAATTTGCTCAGATATACCATAGAAAGATTATAGGGCCTACATAATAAACCACTAGTTTTCAGACAAAAAATATAATTATCAATTTCCCAGATTTGCAGGAGGCATTTTATTTAGCCCTCAGAAGGAATTATTTACTTAAAACAGCTCAAAGAAAGTGGGTTTCATAGTATTAAGTTTCTTTATTGACATACAAAGTTTATCTGTACATATATCTTACTTTAAATCAGGTTGCATCAGTTTTCATTGGTTCATAAATTAACCCAGAGTGATATATTGTAATGATTTTTGTCTCATGTTGTATATGTGAACGTGATTACATTAGTTTTATTTGACTAAGTTTGTCTGTGTTGTGTTCGTATCGTAACTGACTATGACATATGATGTGGTTAATATAACTAGAGAAACATTAACATAATCCGGTAAAACTGACTGTAATCAAAGACTCGCACATAATGGTCAGTGGCTGATTGCTTGTTGATGGCCAGCTGCAATCTCTTCCCAGAGTTGTCCTTCCTTACTCTCACTTACACCACCTCTGTCAACGGCTGAATGTCAAGAATATTGGCAAAGTCTTGAAAATCTATTTTTGCCAATATAATAATTTCACTTTATTACATCATTCATCTTGCATAAACATAGTCATATGATGTGATTTGTTAAGAAGATACAAATAAAGTAAATCAATATGCATATATATTGTGGTGCATTGATGTCAAAATTAATCCGAAATTTACAAAACTTTAAAAGGTTAAATTCATGAGAGAAAAAACTTCGCGAGGAAAAAGCAAAGTTACGTATTTGTATTGTTAACAAGTTTTGTTGCCGGAAGCAATACTACGGTTACCTATTTATTAATACTTTTCACATAAACTCACATATCACCACATTATGTATCTTTTATTAATGTTTGACATAAATAAATTTGTTGATCGTCATTTGTCTTAGAGTTCCGTGTACCAAGGGACATAATCCAAGATGGCGATCTCTCAGAATCGTCGATCTTTTCCTGAAAAAAACTTGAATTTTTCTATACCTGTGTATTTTACGCACCCCCCACTTTGGGTATTAAATTTCTGAAAAAAAAGTGCGCAAATTACATGGGATTTTAAGGTATATGGCTGATGTATAGTGACGAAGGCAAGATGCTGTTGATGTGGGCAATCAACAGCACTTCAGTCAGATATCCTTGATATGTTGGGTTAGGACATGACATGTAGTCAATTCAAATTGATTAAGATATGAATTTATTGACATAAAGGCTTAAACATTTCCTTTGACATTGGTAAAATTACCACAATCATTTTTGGTGACAACAGTAGATATATAGCTGATGAAAATCAGTGAGTGATTGTAGTCAGTTTGTGCAGACTACATAAACTTGTATAGAAAAAATGACTGTTGATTGATCAAGGTAACTTCTTGTGTTGTATGCTAATTCTTGTAGTTATATTTTTTTTCAAGTGTTTGACAGTTAGAATGAAGAGTGAGTTGACCCGGGTCTCAGTGGTCAATGAGAACCTGGAGTGTATCTATGACACATTTGTGAAACCAAATTACAAAATTCGTGACTACCTCACAAGGTAAGCTCTCAACTTACATGTAATATCTACTGGATAGAGGTACATGTAAATGGGTTTAATATATATACCAATGGCTAAATACAGAGCACAGGCTTTACACTGAAAATGGGTTGGTATAGAACATGGATATAATACAGAGCATTGGTCTGATACAGACATTGGCTGGAATCTTCCTGGGATGTTTGCAAAAATGAATAACTTTGAAATGTTAAAAATGGTCAAATGGGTCAAAGATGTCAAAAAATTCAAAATACGTCTGATAATGAAAAAAAGGCCTTGAAATAAGATATTAAGCTGGTAGCTTCCTGGGTTGGAGCCGGACAAAGTTTGCTAATAAAATGACTTTGACCCATGTTCAAGGTCACAAGGGTCAAATGTGTAAAATAATTTTGACAACTTCTTCTGAATTATCAAGAAGGCTAGGGTGATGATATTTTGCCTACAGCATGCTTGATTAGATGTTTATCAAGTTTGTTCTAGTGGATGACTTGACACATTTTCAAGGTCACATGGGTCAAGTGTGTTCAAACCTTGAAACCGCTTATTCTGAATAACCAAGAGCCCAAGGATTATTATATTTGCCTTGTTGATATAAAGTGCGGAATCTGATTCACAGATGGTCAGTCAGATTATTGCTGTAAGTTTAAGTCTTCCAAAGAATATTGTTAAAATGTAGAGTACCAGGAAATAAAATCTCCCAACAAATAATTAGTAGCCATACTTAGCCTATTTAAATTAGTTTGACCTGGTTCCCCTTTGAAGGTCATAGATGTAAGATGAATAACAGGTTAGTGATACAGGCCAGCTGCACCTCTTGTTAGCATATCACTTCAGGGAAGATAACTTGCAGAATCTCAAACAGACATGTATTGCTGTAAAGTGTCCTGCTATAAGGCTCACACTAGGAACTGAAAATCTTGTCTTCAAGTACAATCATTTCTTGTTTAAAAATGAAGAAAGTGACTGTGAACAAAAGTTTGTTTAGAATCTGATATATCCTAGAATGTCTGTAAATATTGTTGTATTGGTAAATGTGGTTCATTGTCACTTTTGCAAATCAAATTGCTAAGCTGCGTTAGTTTGAAATAACCATTCAGTTAGTCCCAAATTAGAGGAAAGTTTGACTCACAAATTCACATTGACTAACAGTTACGGTTTTCTTGTCTTTTACAGATATAGTGGCATCACCAAGCAGATCCTTGATCCAGTTAAGACACGTTTGAGTGATGTCCATAAGCACTTAAGGAAGATTCTTCCTGCTGATGCCATTCTGTGTGGACAGTCACTGTGTGGTGACCTGAATGCTCTACAGGTTAGTAGCCAAGGAGGATATTTTAATTTGAACAGTTTGTATGCGTATGGACATGTTCCTGATATCCCTGGATATCTTCATTGACAGACTTATTCAACTTTCATCACTTTTGTTTTTTGATGCCCACCTGTCACATAATTGTATAGCTAGGAACATAAAAGATGCTTGCTCTTTTCACCTGTCCATTTGTGACAAGTTCAACTTTTTAAAAAGATTTCAATATGTCTAAATCAATATAATAGTTGATGCAGAGGTCAAACATTAAGGGTATTGGGTCATTTGTCTTTAAAGTTTTTCAAAGTATATATATAAATATATTTTAAACAAACACGAATGATGCCTGCATCACACAGATTGTATGCTGTCCACTGTATTTAAGTCACTGTGACCTTCACCTCTAGGTGAAATGTCAAGTAAGTTCAAAGCAAGTACTCATATTGGTTAACATTTTGTTCACAAAAATCCTGTATTTTTAGCTCACCTGGAATGGGGCTTACGGTATGGTGTGTCTTCTGTCGTCTTCTTAGAGCATCTTCTATTTAAGAACTTGAAGACCTAGGGTCATGATATTTGGCCAATAGTACCTAGGATGGAGTGATATAAACTTTCCTCAAATATATGACCTTGGTCTTCTTTCAAGGTTACATGTCAAATTTGTAAAAATCTTTAAATAACTTCTTCCAAGTACCCAGGAGGCCCAGAGTGTATGTACCTGGCATGGACTGCTATAAAGTTTCCCCAAATTAATTACCTTGACCTACTTTCAAGAACACAAGGATCAAATGTGTTAAATACCTTTAAACAACTTCTAAAGAATAACCAAGAGGCCTAGAGTAATGATATTGGCCAGTAGGTTCCTGGGATTAAGTCCTATGGATTTCCTTCATTAACTGACCTTAGCCTACTTTTAAGGTGAAAGGTAAAATTTTAATAAATCAAAAATCTTTAAACAACTCCTTCTGAATAACAAGGTGGTCAAGGGTGATGAAAGTTGGCCAGTATGTACCTGGCATGGAGTGCTATACACTTTTCCCTAAAGAAAGAACCTTTACCTACTTCCAAGGTTACAGGGATAAAATGCTTAAAATCCGTTCAAACAATTTCTTCCTCATAACCAAGAGTTCCAGGGTGATGCTATTTGACTAGTTGCATGCTTGGATAGAGTAGAAGTTCCTCCAGTAAATGACCTTGACCTAATTTAAGGTCACAGGGGTCAAATGTGTAAAAATCTTTCTAAAACCTTCTTAATAACAAAGAGTCCCAACATGCTGGGATAGAATAATACAAAGTTTCATCAAAGAAATTACCTTGACCTTCTTTCAATGTCACAAGGGTCAGGTGTCAATTATGAAAATAAAATTAAATAAACTGGAGGCCCAGGGTAATGATATTGTGCTAGTATAAAAAGAGGGTCTGGCTCTCCGAAGTGCAGCAGGGCAGTGCTCAGCAGAGGTAATCAGAGAACATTTTGTAAATTCCTCCTTTAAGTACAGATTAAATGATTTCAATCATTTAGTCTTGAACATTCTTAAGCCAAGGAGACTCAATATGTGAAAATATTTGCACAATTACTTTGAGAACAATTTCCCATGATTGCTTAAATACCAAGGCGAGTAAGACAGGCTCTCTTGGCCTCTTGTAATTTATCTTATGTTTGTAGATTACCATAGAGAATTTGTAGCTCAGACATGATTACCTATTTGTGCTCCTTCAATCATGCCTGGTTTTGTTGACAGATGTTTCACCCCTATGTGATGGACACCAGCGTAATGTACAACCTTAATGGGGACAGAAAGAGGAAGACAGGATTGAAGCGACTTACTGCTGTATTTCTTAGGTAACTAGTACTGGTGGTATGACAACACTGACCACTGGTGGTATGACAATACTGACCACTGGTGGTATGACAACACTGACCACTGGTGGTATGACAATACTGACCACTGGTGGTATGACAACACTGACCACTGGTGGTATGACAATACTGACCACTGGTGGTATGACAACACTGACCGCTGGTGATATGACAACACTGACCACTGGTGGTATGACAATACTGACCACTGGTGGTATGACAACACTGACCACTGGTGATATGACAAAACTGACCACTGGTTATATGACAACACTGACCACTGGTGATATGACATACTGACCACTGGTGGTATGACAACACTAGTACTTTCCACTGCTGATATGACACACTGACCACTGGTTATATGACATACTAACCACTGGTGATATGACAACACTGACCACTGATGATACAGAATACTGAGAACAGACTTACTTTACAGAATACTGAGTACTGACTTACTATACAAAATACTGAGTACTGACTTACTATAGTGAATTCTGAGTACTGACTTACTATACAGAATAATGACTACTGACTTACTATACAGAATACTGACTACTGACTTACTATACAGAATAATGACTACTGGCTTACTATACAGAATACTGAGTACTGACTTACTATACAAAATACTGAGTACTGACTTACTTTACAGAATACTGAGTACTGACTTACTATACAGAATACATACTGAGTACTGACTTACTATACAGACAACTAGGTACTGACTTACTATACAGAATACTGAGTACAGACTTACTTTACAGAATACTGAGTACTGACTTACTATACAGAATACATACTGAGTACTGACTTACTATACAGACAACTGAGTACTGACTTACTATACAGAATACTGAGTACAGACTTACTTTACAGAATACTGAGTACTGACTTACTATACAGAATACTTACTGAGTACTGACTTACTATACAGACAACTGAGTACTGACTTACTATACAGAATACTGAGTACTGACTTACTATACAGAATACTGAGTACTGATTTACTATAGTGAATTCTGAGTACTGACTTACTATACAGAATACTGAGGACTGACTTACTATATAGAATACTGAGTACAGACTTACTATACAGAATAATGACTACTGACTTACTATACAGAATACGGAGTACTGACTTACTATATAGAATACTGAGTACAGACTTACTATACAGAATAATGACTACTGACTTACTATACAGAATACTGAGTACTGACTTACTATACAGAATACTGAGGACTGACTAACTATATAGAATACTGAGTACTGACTTACTATAGTGAATTCTGAGTACTGACTTACTATACAGAATACTGAGTACTGACTTACTATACAGAATACTGAGTACTGACTTACTATACAGACAACTGAGTACTGACTTACTATACAGAATACTGAGTACAGACTTACTATAGTGAATTCTGAGTACTGACTTACTATACATAATACTGAGTACAGACTTACTATAGTGAATTCTGAGTAAAAACACTGGGTTTAACAAGCTGCCTACTGACTTACTATACAGAATACTAAGTACTGACTTACTATACAGAATACTGATTACTGACTTACTATACAGAATACTGAGTACTGATTTACTATACAGAATACTGAGTACTGACTTACTATACAGAATACTGAGTACTGACTTACTATACAGAATACATACCGAGTACTGACTTACTATACAGACAACTGAGTACTGACTTACTATACAGAATACTGAGTACTGACTTACTATACAGAATACTGAGTACTGACTTACTATACAGAATACTGAGTACTGACTTACTATACAGAATACTGAGTACTGACTTACTATACAGAATACTGAGTACTGACTTACTATACAGAATACTGAGTACTGACTTACTATACAGAATACTGAGTACTGACTTACTATACAGAATACTGAGTACTGACTTACTATACAGAATACTGAGTACAGACTTACTATACAGAATACCGAGTACTGACTTACTATACAGAATACTGAGTACTGACTTACTATACAGAATACTGAGTACTGACTTACTATACAGAATACTGAGTACTGACTTACTATACAGAATACTGAGTACTGACTTACTATACAGAATACTGAGTACTGACTTACTATACAGAATACTGAGTACTGACTTACTATACAGAATACTGAGTACTGACTTACTATACAGAATACTGAGTACTGACTTACTATACAGAATACTGAGTACTGACTTACTATACAGAATACCGAGTACTGACTTACTATACAGAATACTGAGTACTGACTTACTATACAGAATACTTACTACTGACTTACTATACAGAATACTGAGTACTGACTTACTATACAGAATACTGAGTACTGACTTACTTTACAGAATTCTAAGTACTGACTTACTATACAGAATACTGAGCACATACTTACTATACAGAATACTGAGTACTGACTTACTTTACAGAATACTGAGTACAGACTTACT